TTGGCCGTCCGACACAATCCGCACACTGTGGAACTCTATTCAGGAAATTCAAGTATCCGTTCGTCACCAATATCACTTTACTATTAAAATAACTCCGGAACAACGCAAAATCCAAAAATTTGACGAGAGGAAAAATTTTCGTTTCCATCTATAGCACTCTTCCTGATTGACGCGTATGTAATGAATATGAGTTAATCGATTTTTTTGTAAACATATCTTAGCTGTATGTCAACGCTATCTTCCGAAACTCCACGCCAGTTTCTAAAAGGAGTGGGACTCCATTTGGTTCCCGTAACGCAATCCACCTACAATTCCACAGCACAATTTGTAAATCAAGCTCCACATTATTAATAATTTCAACTTTGAATAAATCACACAGCAAACCAAAAATCCGTAAATTTAGCAGTGCAACCTACTTCGATCTCTTCATATCTCATTCATTCCTAAACTTTACCGGGATGAGCGGTGGTAGAAAGTAGACCTGTGCGCCGATCAAAATATTTTCGGCAGCGGCGTGATATGTTGTTTTCTGCCGGCGGCGGCGGCCTTGGTCGGCGTGAGTTTATTTTTAATGATTTAGAAAAAAATACTATCCAAACCAATCGCACATGGACAAAAAATGCTACCCATATTTGAGTTCAGATTATTCAAAATCGCTAGAACGTAGGTCACTCATAGTATGAGTAAATTTTCCGACACTTTCCTGGGGAAAACTTCTCGAATATAGGGAAAATTTAAGAAAATTGTACACAGGTTAGAAGTGTACTAGTAGACAGACTAAAACCAAAATCAGTTTTCCTGATATTCGAGAAGTTTGCCTCGGAAAAGCATCCAAAAATTTACTCATTCTATGAGGGGGGGGGGGGCGACACATCTAAATCTCAATGCTAGATGCTCGAAAAATCTCACACTAGCGAATCAATCTTCTAAACATCTTCTTTCATTTCTCGCATCTCTTTACATCGCGCATCATCTTTTTGCAGGAAAGCTTCAGAATCGTCATCAATCTTCTTTCTATCTACTCAGTGTACGCGCAGCTAGCCACAGCAAACCACAATCTTTCCTGTATCGTAGACAGAGTTGTCCCCCTCGGAGTGACCTACGTTTTCGCGAATTTGAGTAACCTGAACTCAAATATGAAATTTTGAGCCGTTCTGATTGTCCGTGCATGCGGAATTTGTTTAGTCAAGTGCTTGTCAAAATGGCAGGGGGTGGAGTCGTATGGTAAAGTGTTACAACCCTTTAATTAAGTATAAGAAAAGTACGTTATGTATATAAGGGTGGATAGTGTTTCACAGCAAGCAATCTGATGCATAGCGTCAAATTTTAATGGGCCCTAGGAATTCTTCATTTATTGAGCACTAGCTGAGTACCCGGTCTTGCTCGGGATTCAATATAAGCTTGAGCGTATGTGCCGAATAAAATTAAGCATGCTATATTGTACGTAGCCCCTCTCCTCTTATCTAAGGGGCTACCCTATATGAACATCTCCTTATACCTCCTCATGCCTAATTTGGTTCCATTTGCTTGATTAGTTCTCGAGTTCTGCAGAAATTTCTGTTTCATTACAGAGGGGGGAGGGGTATCGAACCATCATAAGAACCTTTACCGGCCCCAAAAACCCCTGCATACCAATTTTCACGCCAATCTGTTTAGTAGTTTCCGAGTCTAGGTATAAGGGTCAGACAGACAGAAATTCATTTATATATATATATAGATTACATGTTATTAATATGTTGATAGCGATAAATTATAAGCGTTTATTACTATGATAGATATTTGAATCTACACGCATTGTAGTCATATAACTTTTTGTTTATGTACTTGAAGATGACATCTTTCGGATTTACGTAGAATCCTGCACAACTTGTAAGAGATTAAAAAAAAAAAGGTCAAATATCAACGTGTTGTTAATAATAGTCACTTATTCACCTTTATGTAAATCTTATCCTCGTCACTAACCCACTGCTGAATGCAAAACTCTATTTTTGCAAATGCTGTAATTGTCATGAATAAAGATTGTTTTATCCACATTGTTAGGGTGGATGCTTGACCGTCGTGCAGATATGGTCAACCCAGCTATGTTAAAAACTCATTCACTTGGCTGCCAATCAAGGATACTGCAGCTTTCTAATTTTCCAAAAGCATAGGCAGAAGGAAACTCTAGTTCATTGTTTCATTTATCCGGTGTTTTCGTCGGATCTAGGGAAAGAAAGAGTCAGCTAGTTTCCTTCTGCCTCACCTTTAGATCTCGCTCATCGAGACGAAACCACTAAACTGAGATTTTTGACGTTTGATCAGCGCATCAAAACAGTATCTCGAACAAATGCGAAGAGGAGGAAAAATAATAATTCATCCACGGGACTAACATCAAATGTTTCCACTAAGGGATTCACAAAATTACTTATTATTTAACTGGTCTATAAATTTATAGCCCATAACAAATTTGAAAAACACATAAGAACTTTGCGGCTGTATTAGGTTTTGCACCGTCGGGGTTAACCTCAATCTGATGGCAGTTCAGTGGTACTGTTTACGTGGACTTAGTCGATTTTTTCTTGGGTAGATTTTCTGGATCATTTTTCAGATTGCAGTGAGATGTAAACCACACTTTTGCAATGTCCACGAGCAACATCCTTTCACCACGCATTTCCTCGACAATTTTCAAGTTAAAATTCGGAAATTTTATAATATATTTTTTTTTTCGAAACAGCGACTAAGTGCTTGTAAACAGGACCACTGAACTGTCAAAAAGGTTCAGCCGTTTAACACTGAGTTCATTGGTGACGTCACGCTGCAGAACCTAATTGCATATTTTACAGCTGTCGCTTACACCGCATGGGTTTGTCTTGCGTTGGTTGTAAGTGTGCGAGTGAAACATAGCAGACAACAGAAAAATGCTGGCTCAGCATCCCCTTGGATTCATCCCTGTGTTCTAGATAGAGAAAGTGCGAACAAACGTCAAAAAAACTAAATGACAATCGCTGCCTAGTACACGCTCCTTTAAGATTCAATTTACTTTGATGCTTTTTCGAAAAATTCAAGAGCAGTTTTTTTCGACGCATTAGTCCAGATTGCAAAATGCTCGCACTATTCGATTCCTTTTGCTATTCTACACAAAATGACGCGAGCTTTTAGCAATCTGAAAGAATGCGTCGAAAAAAACTGCTTTTGAATTTTTCGAAAATGCATCAAAGTAAATTGAACCTTAAGGTTACTCAAAACTGAGTCAGACGTACTCATTTTCATAACTACTTTTGAAGCGTCATAATTACGAGTAGTTGTGATTTGTGAATTTGTGTAACATTGACTCAACAATAAATAAATAAAGGTGGATCTCAATTTTGAGTTTTCAGCCCATTACTATTTTGACTCGAAAAAAAAAAAAAACAAAGCAAATTGAGTTGTGATAATGTAAAAATACGAAGTTTGCCTTTCTGTCGTAGAAGAAAATTTAAAAATTTAGAAAGATTTCATCCGAAAATGGAGCAAATTGCAGCCGCCGTGGATGCGGAAACGTACCGCAAATTGAGCGGTAATTGTTTTGCATTGTGTTTGCTATAAAATAAAATGCTTGATTAAAATGTTTTTTTCAGTTTTTGGTTTATTAAGCCTAAAGAAAAGAAACGAAATGTTTGCCCATTTGTGTGTTTTTGACTAATTTCCTTATATTTTGGATTTTATAAGAATGATAATAACTCATCAGCAAACACTTGGCCGTTTTACTCAAAATTCAGTTCTGGCTATTTAGAGTAGTTGGTTTTAGTTAAATTGAGTGGTTTTTCACTCAATTTTGAGAAGCCACGAACGAGTGTGCCCAGAAGTTCTAATTTCAACGCGTTCAAGATGCAATTTACCGCCCGGCGTGACATAAATTTATTCGGCGGCGGGCCGGCTCAATTTCATCGGAGGCGGCCGCGTGGCGCTGCGGCGCACAGGTCTAGTACAAAGGGCACACATTAGTGATGCGTTATCACGTTTAAAAACATGTTTCCAGCAAAAGAATAATCACACTATAAAGACAAAATACGGAGCTTCTGTGATTAGCTCCTACGGATCCGTCTTTCTTCAAAATTTAATCAATTCTATAGATCTACGGGAAATTTCGTAGAACCGACATCACTGAGTTGCATCTGTTTTGATTTTATTCAACACCGCTGACGTGTTGATAGAACGAGGCAAAAGCAACTAGGGGAAAAAAAACAATCATGAACGAGGGATGCTTCGGTTGCAAATCAATGCTCTGAAATGTACATGATAGCGGGTGCGACGCTTGACGATATTTTTGAAGAATTTTCTTCTAAGAATTACGTCTGTTTGTGTGTGCTTCAAGTTTTTCAATGCACACTATGTTTTTTTCAGCATTGAGCTTATTTTCATACTGGCTGTAGAACTTTGACAGCTGCGGTAGATTCGCAATATGTCCGGTTGGTCTGGTTTTGATCACTTCTTGGTTAACTTTGTGGGTCTGACTAAATCACTACTGTCATTGTATCCCAGAATGTTCCATTCCCAAATCGCTACAATCACATCATTGCGACAAAAACAAAACGCAATTCGTCCGATGATGGGTCAAAAATGCTTCAAGCAAGATCCTGGAAATCGCAATCAAAAAAATTGACGATTGTAATATTTAATTGGTCCGAAATTACTCTCCCGCATGACTTATCAATTTTATGTGGTCGTCTGAAGGTTTTTTTTTTCTCAAAATAATTTTGTGATTGTTATGTTAGCCACATCTTCTAATAAAGTTTATTCGCCCGAATCTAAAATATTCAAGAAACACTACATTGTATGCTACAGTCTATTTTAGGTACTGCTATTGATTTTTTTTTTATAAGAAATAGGATGTAAGAATCCCACACTTACATATGACGTTCATGCCATTTGTTTTGCGTGCACACATTTTTCATATTTCCCCTTCTAGTGAAAGTATCAACTCGAGTTAAAACTATGGATCGTAAATCATAAAAAAGAGCCATAAACATCAATTTACTTACCAGCATTAACTTGTGACGTCACGACTATCGTGACTGCTATAAGAAAGGTTGCTATCGATTCGAGCCCTTTGAGGCTCGAACTCCTGTTGATCATGGCGACTGTTTTCTTATACCCTGAAACGAAGGAAAGAAGAAACGAAAAGTTGATGTTAATAAAAGAAAAAAACAAACTGGTAACTGGCGATCAATCGATCGAAATTAGTGAGTGACTGCAATCGGCGAATCGGCGACGAACCCGTCCTATTTGTTTTTTTTTTTACTATGAGACATTGTTTTCGCAACAGCAAAAAAGCGAATAACCCAGAAACGATTGCATGAATTAGCAGCGTCCGATCGATTGATCAGATGGTGGAATTAGCTTCCGAAAAAAATAAATAATCATAATACGTAAATAAAAAGCCAACTAGCAACAGAGCGAGAGAGAGAGAGGAAGATGTTGAGGACGAGATAAAGAAAGTAAAACTGCACTTTTGGTCGTCCGCACGCTTGTGTGCGGTGGATAGCGCCGCGGGAAGAGCAGCAGCACTTTCACTGGTCATTAGCTAGCAGCCACAGCCACCCGAAAAGCTCCTCTTCGTCTACACTTCGCACTTCGCCATTCAGTCGGCCTTTTTTTTTCTTCTTCTCCCGTCTCAGCTCAAGCTCAATCAGCCCGAGTAGTGAAGTGAGCATTGGAGAGTATTGGAGAAATTATGAGCTTGGCAGCAAACAAAGTAGCCAATTGCGCTTGGCTTGATTGCATTGACTTACTTTTCGTATATTTTTGCGCTTGGTTCGCAGAAAAGCTCCAAGTAGGCGGCGACCGGCGACGGACGGGGGATGCACGACGCCGCCTGCTCGCTCGTTCACTCGCCGTTTGAAATTTATGTCAGTGTTTCTCCTTCATAAGTGGGCATACTATTATTATTATTGCTATTATTACTGTAAAAACTGGTTGCTTCCTGTATGGGTGATTTTTTTTCGCAAACACTCCAAAGTCCACATGAAGCTGCCTCTGAACGATCCGGTTTTTGACCAGAAATATGTGCACAAAGTAAATGCAGTGTGCTCTATATTTATTGCCTGATAGCTAAGGTAGTCGTCGAGTGCATTCCGAACTTGGCAAGGATTTCGCGCTACTGTCTCCCGTGCGTCGCCTACTCTGACTGCGATGCTGCAAGCAAGCGGTCAAGTTCGAGTTCACCACGCTCAGCAGCATTCCTCTTCAGCTGTGGTGCCGCTGCTGCTGCTGCTGCTGCTGCAGCGCGTTCAAGATCATGGTCAACTGCGACGACGACGGCTGCCTTTTTGCTGTTTCCTTTTGGTCGTCGACATGGGGATGTGGGCCACACGAGGAGAACAGCAAGACTTGGATTTTTTTTGCGTTCGTTCGTTCGCTGCGTTCAGTCAACCATTGAGTACGGACGGCAGGCACGGTAAGTACTATCGAAGAAGTAGGCGAGGATGTTGCGTAACTTTTTATGTGACTGGTTTTTCGGGTTGCTGAGGTGAGAGAGTTTGAGCAGCACAACAAGGGGTGCATGACATGAGGTGTCGGGAATACCGTTGCGTGTAGCGTAGCGTGACGTGTGCTGATCATTGATGCTGAAGAAGTAAGATTCGCGGAAGTGATTACCGACGATCTGGTATTACTGTATGGGTTTTTTTTGTTGTCATTATGATGCACAACTTTTTCCGAGAACTGAAGGTGCAGAAATGGCAAATCAGGCGTGATATTAATGGCAATGGGGGATACCACTTGGATTTGGATTATTCAGCAGTTCATTGAATCTTACAATGAGAAAAGTTTCTCGCGGTGTTCTGTAGAGTAGCGAAAGGGAACGAAATCCCCTTATTAAACAATCTAGATCGCCGGTAATTGAGGTTTCCTACGGCTTCGGAAGTGCCCCGACCATCCATCAATCGGTAGGAAATTTCTCTAAATATCATACCTGGTGATCGCGTTAAGTGCCAGACACAGACAAAAAAAAAAAAAACACCCGAAAAACAACTAACCCAAAACGGTTTCTCCGCACTCCGTGCTACCCAGAGGTACCTATCTCCGAAAACCGAATCGTTTTCATGAATTGTGCCCAGTGTTGCTTGAACCCTATGATTATTTAATTATGCTAATCACAGCCATCCATAATCGTTATGACGTTGATGGGTCGGCTCTCCCCGCCGCCTTCGATGATCTTTTCTCACCGCGAAAAACAACGCACCCTCGGACAAAACACATTTACCAAGCAACCTCCTCTTCGGGGCCCATTATTTGCTCAATTTCTAAATGGATCAAACGCTCGATTTTTTGCTCTTTCGCTCATCATGTTGCTTCGTTTGAAGCTGATGAGCGCAATTTCCAACCGAAGCATGCTGTTGCTGCTGCCCGATAATTACCAACTTTGAGGAAAGCAGAAAATCCCGTAGGCTACTACAGAAATAACGAGCGCGCGTATATGTACGTAAAATTATAGGCCTTCCTGAGTCCCGCGGAGTTCGTGGGTCCCGGAGTCTTCCCCTCGGTGGGGCAGACGGGCGGAAAAATTTTGCAACACGTAAAAAAAAACTTTATACTACTTATTAATTTTACAACCACACTCAAGCACGCTTCCTCCCGCATTTCCTAGGGAAACGGGAGAGGCCTCAGGTGCCTTGTGAACAAATCGTACACACATGCATCTATGCGCATATATCAAGATGGAAGGAAAAACCGGAGGAACCTCCGCACATCCAGCCTGGCAACTTGTTTACCTCAATAGAGACACGAGAGCCGGATGATCTCTCGCTCTCTCTCTCTCTCGCTCTCACCGCGCTGTGGCCTGGGATCGTGGCCCGCGTGAAGCAACGGTAACTAAATACTCTAATTTAACGGCACTTTACCCAACTCTCCTCCTCTGGGGAACGCGGGCGAGGCCATGGGGCGAAAGGCACACACACACACACAAAAACCAAGAGCCACGCGAAGAAAGAAATTCGAAGAGAGAGAGAGAGGCCAACAAACAATGATCTAAACAAGAGCAAAACTACTAGCATCGCGGTAGGCTTGGGAAGCTCGCGCAACTTTCAACATGAGCTTCCCCATCCCCCCACCCAAATCCCCAAATGAGTGTTGTTAAGAACAACAACAACGACGACAACGTTGACGTGCACGACTAATTGTGTGAACCGCGCGGTTTATTGAAAGTCCGCACGACATGGGTGCCAAAAGGTTTGGCAAACGAGGTTGCCTGGAGTGCATTTGGAAAGCTCAATCTGCAAGAATGAAGTTTTGCTTGGGAGAGAACCTCGTTGGACCGCTCATAACGCGTCCAGGCCTCCCGATCTTCCCGAGGAAACGATTCTGCGATCCATCCCCAGGTTCCCTCAATCAATCAACGCCTCTCCGAACGGTGCTGGTGAGCTGAACCGATCACTCTTGATCTAATTTCCGCGCTAACTGACATCGATTGCTTCTTTCACTCTGCGGATCATTCGTTTCGTACGATGGCCATTCCCACAGCCTGCTTCAATTTTGTATATCAATTTGAGTGACCATCAGGTCGTCGGGAGTGTGTTTCGAATTGAGCATTGAGCTAGTTTTTTTTTGGGTGCAATGAGAAATGAAAGGGTTCAATTAGACCTCAACCAGAAAATTTGCACTTTTTGCCAATCGTACCGCAGTCAAGTGGAAAGCTGCGGCTTCAAATTGAAGGGTTCCATCAAAATGGTGGATAATGAATAGAAATTTCTCGGATAGGTTAAGGAGGCCTCCTGTTTTCGATCGATTAACCCAAAACAAGAGAAGAGAGAGATAGAAGAACGGTCCGAATCAAGGTTTGAGATGGTGTTTTTTTGGCCAGCAAATTAATGCATCAAGCGTTCGGTACGGCGAAGTGAGTACACTTAAACACTGTGTTTATGTTTACCCTCTTGTTGTGAAGATAGAGAGATGAGCTCGCTTTTCCATTTCAAGTGGGATGCCGTGCGATCCGAGCACTTTCAATCAAGCGTCGATCGACGGGCTACGCAGGAAGGTTCTGTCCTTGTAGGTTACGAAGGTGTGCGCTCTTGACATTGGTTTGTCGAGGGGACTCTCCTTGGATGCCGGATTAGTCCGTTCGGTGGAGGCTTCGGATGATTGATTTAACCTCTGGTAGCACAGGTGATCCATAACTTTTCTGTCCGTCTCATGTTTGTCAATCCATCATTGAATAGCCCTCCGTGTGTTCTCAATAGTCCTCAACTGAGCAACTATTGAAAAACAATTAAAATACAGTAATGACCCTATTTGTTAAGCCCTTCCAAGCATCAAACTTTTATCTTTCAATAATTTTATGTATTCGTAATTCAAAATATTTCTCATTCATTTGCGATAAGACCACTGAAATAGCGCATTAGAAAAGATTTCCAAAATCAAAACCCACATTTAAGGATCTGATAATTTTAGACTAGGATATCTTTTATTCCAGATCTAAATTCATTCAAATATCATTACTTCAATAAATGTCAAATGAAATCGCGGAACTCCAGGATCAGTTTTATGAATTTTTACACTTATACGGATGTCCCGGATCTTTCGCAGGGCCGCCCTGTGACCACCAAAGTCCACAGTCCGGTTTCAGATTCAATGATCATTCCCATGTCATCATTACAGGTGATTTCAAAAGAAATTGTAGAGTTCTTGAAACCGTTTAAATAATTGACCACTTTTACGGATGTTTCGCATCATCTGTAGGACAACCCATGGCCCCCCAGAGTCCACATTCCAATCGCAGATCCAAATGTATTCATGTTCCGGATCATCCGGGATACCATCGACAGATCACAGAGTCCAGTTTCAGATCATAATTCATTCATTGTCATCCCTTTAATTGGTTTCGAAATAAATCCAGGAACTCTTGGATCATTTTAGTGCTTAAATCATTTTTCCGGATGTTCCGGATCTTTTGAAGGACCATGCTGTGGCACCCAGAATATACATTTCAATCCCACATCATAATTCATTCAAATATCACCACTTCAATTGATTTCCAAATAAATCGAGGAGCTCTTGGATCATTTTCATGAAATATTATGTTTTACGGATGTTCCGGATCTTTCGGTCCACAGTCCAGTTCCAGATCAAAATTCATTCAAATATCATGACTTCAATTGGT